CTTTTGTTACCGATGAGGCGAATTGATGAATCCCTGACAACTAACTTTTCTTTCAAAACTAAACGTCGAGTCATATAAGATTATTAAGAGATTCTTCAAAAACCTTCATTTATCTAGATTTAATCCTTACTTCCGTATCAGTTAGTATATCTTTTTATATGATATAAGAGATTCTCTTAATCCTCATTAGTTCTCAGCTAAATTTGTATTCCATATTAACCCAAATCAGTTAGATGGGATGTATTCACCCTATTTCGTTAAAGGTGGTCGTTGAAATATACCAAAATGCTATGTGTAGAGCTGGTGCCTCCATTGAATTTCACATAGTCTTGCTTTCCTAAAAGTTGTTCTCATCCAGAGTGGAATGCTGTTTCGATCTCGCCCGGGTCTTATCAACACCCCAGGCAGACTCGAGCCATGAGAATTCAGCGTGAAGTCTCGACACATTAACCACCACGCCACATTGCCATAGGCTCTTTTGGGTCACAAGGCAGATGGGAAATTCTAGGAAGGCCAGGCCTTTACCACATAACATTCTGTGGTGGGATTAACCATAAAGCCCAATTTTATTTGCTATATCAATCTAATACATGGCACATTTTTCGTTTATAAGTAGATTTTCAAGACTACCAGTAAATCATTTAGATGAAATCACTTTCATCCAGCCAAAAGGAAAATTAATTACTATTAGTAACATGAGATGTATTCACCCTATCTCGTTTAAGGTGATGAAGGACTGGTAGTAGAATTTTCCCACAATGATATGAGCAGAGTTGAGGCTTCCATTGACTTTCACATAGCCTTGCTTTCCCAAAATTTGTTCTCATCCAGGGTGAATACATCTCATATTACTGATTTACTGGTAGTCTCGAAACTATACTTACTATTAGTAAAAATTGTTCAAACATAGCAAGTTCATAATTCCAATTTCCTCCTTCTGCAAGTGTAATATTTCCATTTTGAAGTACAAACTTTTATTTTATAACCAAGGTTTTTTAAGCTATTAAGGATAAAAACAGCATATGTTTGATTCCTATATTCTTTGATGTGAATATTTTGATTTCGCACGGGAGTACATGATTAAGAGATTCGTAGGTCTATCTCACCCAAAGACGTCGGCTGATTCGCGTTTGACTGCAGCCATTTGGAATTAATACGAAGTTGAGGTTAATACGGTCGGCAAGACGTCCTCTAACATTTTGGGCGAAGACGGGATCAGTTTTTATTAGTCACATAACGAAATAAATCTCAGCTCCTCTTGGCCCGAAACGTTGGAGGACGTCTTGTGGACTGCATCAACCTGAAGGTTGTATTAAGGCATAACGATTGCAGTACAACGCGAATCAGCTAAAGTCTTCTGTTGAGATTGACCTAAAATCTCTGCATCATGTACTTCTTCCATACGAAATGAAAGTCTTTACATCACTCTTTTATTAGGAGATTCTTGGAAACCCGCATTTTATTCCTATATTCCTGTTCGCAAACTTATCTTCTATCGTGATAAATAATAGATCCAAAAATGGTGAGCAAATTTCCACTAGCCTGCTGACTAATTACGATAATTAAATTTTCTGAGAAATCCTTACTCCTTGGCAAAAGTGAAAATGATCATACACATCTTTTTTTACAAATTTCTACTTAATAATTTGAGAACTTCTTTGCAAACTTAGTTATATTTTTTTATGCGTAGCTTTACTAGCAAAAAATTAATGTTATGTTATTTACACAAGTTACAACATACTGCTTATTTAATTTAAGTAACATTTATCTATCCTTTTATTATATCTGTTTAAATGGAGTTAAGCATGCACTAGTTAATTTAATCTCATCAGGCGGAGCGTATATTTAGGAGTAATTTCATTTTTTTAAAGCAGTTAAATAAAAAAGTAAACAAGGCCTGTGGCAAATGGGGAGATAAATTTCGATCTTGCTTATAAATTTGTTTACTTATAAATTTATTCCCCTCTATATAGTCAATATTTTTGCCTGATTTACTATTTCTACAAATCTATTTGAGATTTCTTTGGTTCGGCAGCAAATAGGCTTGGAAACAGGCCAGGACAACTTAGTGGCAAATAGTAAACAGACGAAAGGATTTAGCTGAGCAATTTATGAGAAAACAAAGGAGGAGTGTAGCTAGAATAGCCACAACTATGCATGTGGACAATACAGACAACAGCAGAGTAGGGTACCGCTCTTTCAGCAAACGAAAGATAGCCAGTCAAATAAACTCACCGACCTATTCCAAATATGATGCGTCTAGATAGGCTATAAACACATAGATCTTAATTAGTTATCGTGTGATCTGATTAAATCATATCATATATGAGACTGGAAGTCTGTGCGCTTGCATAGTCTGGTTTACGCAACTGGTTGAATACAGGAAGGATAGCTCAAATTAATTAGAAAACATACGCAGCATGAAAGAGTATGTTTGCCTGAATATGCTGTAAGAATCATATGTTGCCTCGAGCATGTCCGTCGCATGCGTTCTGATTCTAGGGGCTATTCAAACTCTAGCTTTAAGTCTATAAAACACTCAGATCTTATTGATAGAGTAAACCTGAGTAAAACTTTAGTTTTAAGATTAGTCAACCTATTGGTGAGTAAAATGGCAGGCTTTATGAACAAGCACAACAACTTTAATTTATTCTTTGCCTTGACCTCAGTTTAGCTAATAATTAAAATAAAATAATGGAGGAAAGCTTTATTAAATAAGTAAATAAATGAATAAATAATTTTTTTTTGATATTAGTATATTTCGGAGCTATTATTAATTCTCGAATAAGAACTTAATCATTCTAACTAAATCTAAGGTAATTTAAAAACTATTATTTTCGAAAACATTCACATTGCTAAACAATAAGACAACCTGAACTAAAGAGGTCAGAGAGTTCTACAAAAACGACAAAGCCGAAGAGAGATTCAGAATCATTTTATAGAGTATTCTGATGCCCCAAGTTATTATTTTGTCTGATCTCCCTATGAGCGTCATCAGAATGGTAAAATCAAGATACTATTAAGATTGTCAACCGCTCTGTGTTGCTATAAATTGCAATTTCTCTTCATTCATCTACGTTGAACTTTGCAAAATGTACCATTATTCCAAACTGATATTTTATGTGAGCCTTAATTGCACATACTCTTTCCATTGATTCTTGTTTGGATTGCATGATACAATAAATTTTGCTCAAAAAAGCTGCAGAGATAACCGTTATTTTCTGTTTCAGATAGCTATTTCTAGTTCTAGTCACTTCTCAGCTGAGCAAAACACCCATAAAGATGGATAGTGTATCTACTTTTATAATCTAGCTTGACCACTAACGTAATGGATATATCTAAAACCTCTTTCCTGAGCAACCAAATGATAAAACAGTTAAGAGTTTTCAGCCTGCAATGCCTCTAAAAACAGACTAACCAGCCATTTAGCTAGCTAGAATTGGTGTCTTCACCCGGCTTTAGCCAAACATCGTGTTTACTCATCATATTCCAAAGATTATTTCTCTATTGGCTTCAAAAGTATTTAGGATCTTTTTATTAACCACATAGCAATGACGCTTGGTCAAACAATACTTATTCACCATATTATTTCGGAGTAAGCTCCCTTCTGTAGGAAATGGTAAGTATTCAAAGAATTAACCTTTTGCAAAATTGAGTCTGTTTGACTGCATCAACCCTTTATTTATGGTCTCAGAGCACCCTGTAATCTAAAATTGAGGATCTTTGCAATATGTTTATTAAATTCAGAGTTGTTTGAACCATGCAGTCTAGCAAATCATTTTTCGCGATCAGCACTACTTAAGCATTATCTTTGAGCCTCTTCCTAATATCACTTCTTCGTAGCTTATTTTATATTTGATTATTTTGATTATTTTATAGTTTATTTTTATGCATTTATTTATTAATTAGTTTATTTTAGTTTATTCACTTTCGTTATTTGATATTTTATCTGGCATTTTCATATAGCCCTTAATTAGAGAAACGACTTGTAGCACGTTATCACTCATAATCACTTTAAGTTTAATAGCACCATGTTTGTTTAACCGTCTAAGCATGAGAATTTAAATGAAGTGTAACTGGATTTGTATAAATATCTTGAGACAAAACTGTCGTGGTGACTTCGAGAGGAATGAGTTGCGCTCTCGTCTGACATGCCATTGGACAGACATTTGCAAAAACTTCTAAACCAGCATTAAGAATAAAAGTCTCATACGTCATATATAATTAAAACAACAAGTTAAACAATTATTTAATTGGAAAATTTTCATCTAGTTATAAGTATTTGTGTGTATGTGTGTGTGTGTGTGTTTTTATGTATTTTCTGTGTATATGCACGCATGTAAGTTAGAATACGAAACAATAAGCCGTAAAACTGAGTAATATAAGCTGAAAGTCAGTCCGGGCTGATCAAGCTCCACTGACTTAAGAAGGAGAGGGACCGCTAATGCGATGCAATCACTCTATTTTTCCATCCATCAATCGAAAATAGGACAGTTTTGCCGATCTCTTTCCTACCATTGTCTACATTCGGATGATTTCCAATGAAGTTGCTAGCCTCTCTTATCTTGCGGTTAGTAGCACACTTATCATAGTCAAGCTGGGAATTACGTTCAACATATGCCCTTTCATCAGGCGCTTTTGCAAGAAATAATAGTCACCTTTATTTTTCGTTTATAAGTAGGGCTTTATAGTAGGCCACTTAATAGCACAGAGGCCTTTGCCGGTACTCAGAAACTGGCACGAACGGAATACCGATAATCATAGTTAATCATACCCAAGAGATGATTAGTTCACTCAATGGGACTTGACTAAGATGATATTGAGTGCATTGTTGTAGCGATGAATTTATTTCCGGAAATGGATCCGGCGATCAGAGCAACTTCGGATGGCTCTTATCTTTTTCTGTTTGGGTTTAGTCGATGATTATGGACAATCAACTGCGAGGGTCTACTTTGCTCACATTCAAGACAGTGGGTTCTGAGCCCTAGTAAGTCCAAAATCTATCGGAGAGTGCGGAAGGTCTGTCTCGCAACTGTTTCAACTTGCTTACCAGCCAATTTGAGTCCAAGCGGCTGATCCGGCGATCGACGAACAAGTCTGACGAGTTGAGGAACGGTCCAATTTACCAGACAGATACTGTCATCTTCATCCTCGCTCAATTTGATGTCATCCAACTGGTACCGATGTTTGGTATTCTGCTTGGGTTCTATTCTGAAAGGAAGAAAACGATCTACATAAGGTTTGGTGTGCAAGGTCTAAATACGTAGCCATTCGAGCATTAATATGAAAAAGAGCTAGTGAGGACCGCAAACTCGATGGTAGGTATTTTGGCACTTTTAATCTGTTAAATAGCAGCTCAGTGTCCGGAAAGCAAGAAGAGAAATTCTTGGTTACAACCACAGCTGGAGTCTTTCCATCGGGACGCAGAAACAATTCCCAAAGTGGCTGCTTGTATAAAAATGAAGACAACCAAGGAGCATGATTTTTTGGCTCATAATTTTTCTGTATATTTTGGCACATAATTTTTGTTAGGTTAGTTTGATTTAGCCAGGGTATATACTATGAGATGTACTGATCCTATTTCGTTAAGGATGATAAGGAGACTGGTAGTTTACTTCTCCCACGCTCATATGAGTGGGTCATACATTCACATTAAATTTCATATAGCCTTGCTTTCCCAAAAGGTATTCTTCTCTAGGCAGGGGTGGACTATAGTTTTACCTCTCTTAGCTCGCATCAACACCCCTTGCGCGACTCGAACAATGACAGTGTAGCACATAATCTCGACACATTAACCGTTACGCTACACTGCCACGAGGGCCCGTGGGTCACAGGAAAGATGTGAATTTTAAGTAAGGCCAGGCATTTTCACATGTCATATGCTGTGGTGACCATGTCGATGAGGCAAACCTATAGTTGCTATAGCAATCAACTACTTTACTTATTTTTAGTTTATACTTAGGCCTTGTAGATTGCCAGTATATCGTATATATGATATGTATATGTATATACGTGGTTAATAATAAAGATGTTATTTCGCTGGTTTTTGTAGATGAGTCCACTTTTACGGAGAAGAATTGAATTTATGGGGCAAAAATCATCCACTATTTGCCATCATCATTACCGTATATATGAAGATCAAGATGGCACAGCATTAGGTCTTAATAAGAGTCTTTTGTGTCTTTATAGAGACAGAAGTTGGTTCCGCAACTTAGTCGTGATCACAAGAAGATCACAAGAAACATACCCGTACTGTGTCCTCTAACATTGTTGGCATATCTTCTTCTATATTAGATGTAGCCACCATAATTCGTTAAGGTAAGAGGAAACTGGTGGTTTTAATTTCCTACAATCATATGAGATTATACGCTGCACTCGCATAGTTCGAGTCCCGCTGGTAGTGATAATGAGAGTCGGGCTAGGTCAAAAGTGTAGTGCATTTGAGACTGGGTGGAAATAATTTTTGGGAATCAAGGCCATCTGAAATTCAATGCAAACATAAAACCTACTCATATGATTGTGGAAAAATTCAACTACCAGTCTCTTTATCACCTTAAACGAAATAAGATGAGTACATCATATATATACAATCTAACAGTGGTCTCGAAAACCCACTTATAAACGAAAAAACAAACACTTTCTGTTGACTTCCCAGCGATCAGTTTCTTCAGAATCTATCGCGGGTGTTACCAGATCATCACAAAGAAGAGAAGATACTCCACTTAGAATTCCATTGGAGGTGCTGATGAAATTTGGCTTTCTACTTATTTTATTTTGGGAAATTCACCTAACATTCCTACATTATCAAAATGTGAAAATTTCACCTTCAGCAAATCACCTCGTTTGTGCCACTATTCATCTTCTAATAAGCTCATCTGTCATATATGCACCTTTTCTGCGACTAAGGATTCATGCAGACCCACCAGGTGAGCTGAAAAACAAAGTTCAAATTCCTACCTAATCACCCATAAAGTATTATTCCAATTAAATGATAAGCCAAAATTCCAATTTCCAAAGTTTATAAATTTATTTTTCTATATGTATACGTCGGATACACCTAAAATTTAAGTTTTTTTGCAGACAGAAACCAAGCCCCTGGAATTTGGTCCCTCAAACTAGGCTCGAGAGTCATGCAACCCCTACCACATGTCAACTGAATACACCCGAGTTAATCGTATTTTTCTATTTCCCCACGACTACTTAAGGGCTTTGTAGAATATAAACAATATTGGTGATCACAGTTTAGTAGCTTGTCGCCCATAACTGGGTGATGTGGTTGAATACGATGGCAACGTGAGCAATACGAAGTAGAGTCATTACGGTTTCTCATTAACTTTATTTCCACTGGCCACATCATCTCTTTGGCCTTCAGAAGGTTCATGGCTATTTCGCCTCAGGATTCGTGTCTCAAGGAAAAGACGAATTATTGACATGAGGCAGGCTAAAATGACCAAACCTGGCCAGAAAAATGAGAGAACCACGTTTGGCCCATCATCTTTGCAAGAGATGATTATTGTATGCACATAAATAGGCTAAACTCCTTCTACAAAGGATTTTCGATATTGGAATATTAGTTGCCAAGGCCTGCAGGATTTCTTGAAAGTAAAGCTAAATGCTGACAGCCCGTGACCAGCAGACGTGAGGAATCGAGTAAAAAATGGCTGCAATAGTGATTAGAATTAATGAGCTAAAACCGGGTCCCGAAAATCTCTAAATCATTTACTGTAACTCAACTTTCCATTTTATCTAAAAATGAAATGGAATGCATTCCTAAATTGGCCTTACTGCAAACCGAAGTAAGATTGCCGTTACAGAAATAATCAAGACGAGAGACACAAAAGACTGTATTCACCCTAGCTCGTATAAGATGATGAAAGAAGCGATAATGCTATGAATAGGTCTCACGATGCCATTGAGTTTACCCTTGCCTTGCCTTCTAACAAGCATTCTCATGAATGCTGGACTTGGATATAATTTCGACCTCGCCTGGAACAACCGGGCATGCTACAACCACCTTACACTACCACATGTATTTTGAGACAAGCCAGGCCTTTCCATATGGCATTTTTGTGTTGGGATTACAATTGACTAAATTACTAATACTACTTATATTAATATTGAGTAGGCTTAAAAACTACCAGTAAACTTTGAATAAGAGTAAAGCACGGATGTATGAAGAGGGTGTGGATGCTGTCGCAGCTATTTACTTATATAAATCAACTAGCGTTTGATACTATAATGCTAATTAATCTGTTTGCAATGTTAAATCAGGAGAGGTATCGGAACCCTAACTTGATTCAAGGTCATGCAGGCGTCGTTCACTGGCTCAACGACTCTTCTGGTTCTCTATTCCTTTTCTCCGGTACACTCTTATCCAGCTGACACAACTAGCTCCCGCTCTCTTTCATATACCCACCTCTCTAACCAGGCGGCTGGTTGCTTTGTTTAGCTTTATAGACCCACTAATATAACATCAAGAACAGAGAAGGAAATAGTTAAAAGAGGCAGTGACCAATTAGTCATAAAATGCGTATCGTATAAAGGATTTTATCAATAAAAATAAACCTTGGATGCTCCAATTTTATCTCCTTAGTGCTTTCACATTCCTTTAACATTTTGAATTTCACCAAATATGGAATTTATTAGGGCTTGCGTTTGTTTAAGTTGGCTAATTATAGTAGCTTCAGATTTATCACTCAGTGGTACTGTTTATGGCATTAACAGGGAATGGGAGTGCTTGAGAACAAACTCAAAGTAAAAATGTCGCTAGAATTTAGCATGAAAGGGGTGTTCCTGTAAAGTCTTGCAGTTAAGTAAAATGGCTAAATTCTCGATACTATCCGTCCCGAGGTTGCTGTGAGGTAATAAATTATCATAAACACTATGACCAAGTCGCCATGGCAACGCGACCATGTTGGTAAATCTGGGTCATGCCAATGCCGTTGGCCGCAATTTCATTTTCATCATGTGGCCTACGAGTGAAATGGTGCGATTATTTGCAAACTTGC